TTCTTCTGCTTGTTGGGGTTCAGCAGCTTTCACCTTTGCTGCCTTTCTCTCTTCAGCTTCCTCCTTCTCCGCCTGCCGACGGGCCAATGTCTCACTTTTAGGTGGTCGTCCACGTTTGCGCTTCTTTGGCATGTCCCCTGAAAACCATACAATATACCACAAAAAAAAAATCAAATCCAAGATAAATAACAATAGAAAAGGTTTTTGTGATACATAATGAACTGTACTATTGTACTTTACCTACAGGTTTGAAGTGTTTGTCTCTCATGTGGTTAATAAGTGTGTCTTTAGAGGCACTCTTGTATGGACACATCTTACACTTGAACTGCTGTACAATCACTACTTCCATCATCTCCTCCAACTCAGCCAGGTTTGGTGGTCTGTCTCCAGAGCCTTCTGCCACTGTTGATGTCTCCATCTCCCTGACCAGCCCAGCTTCATCCTGAGGCCCCTGGGAGCCCTGGGGCTCCTCTTGGCTAGGTGAGCACTGTTGGGTGAGCTCAGGCTCTGGATTGGAGGTGTATGTCCCACTGCTGCTGATGTAGGGCCCAGACTGGCTCTCGCTGCACTCCAAAGCCTCAGGAAGCCCGCCTGAACCTGCAGTGTCTGCCAGAGGGTGGTCCGATGAGGAACTGTCATCGGCATAAAGAGAGGCCTCTGGGCCATTGCTGCTTTCCATGTAACAGGAGTGCTGGGGCTGCTGTTGGGAGTGCTGCGGTTGGTCTGGATCCTGGTTTTGCTCGTCATCTTCATCATCGTCCCTTGCTTGGTACCGAGAACAACCTGGTTGCTCAGAGTCTGCAGCTGCAACGCACTCCCCTCCATACTCAGCCCCATACTGCCGACTTGTTTGGGTCCGGTGGTCTGCACTACTGTCAATATAACTGCGTGAATGATGCGGCCGCTCTCCATCATCCACCGCACACTCCAGATAACCAGCGCTGCACTCCACCACATAGTGACCTCGGCTGGTGGGGTTTGAGTCAGCCCCACTACATTCCACGTATCCAGGAAGGTCCTGGTCACTGTTATCCCCGCTGTAGTCAGGGAAACCTGACTGGGAGCGAGTCTGGTCGGGTTCCTCGCCTGAACACTCCACATAGGAAGATGAAGACTCCCCTGTCTGGTCTGGACCATCTGCACTGCAGTCCATGTACTGGGAGGGATGGGAGTGCTGGGGCTGGTCAGGTTGACTGCTGCTGTCCTCTGGGTAACCCGAGTGACCGGGCTGATCATCAGGCTGGTCAGGATCAAGGTTACCCTGCAGGTCTCCCTGGTCCAGACAGGTGGATGTGGGGCCTTCTGCAAGAGCTTCTATGGCTATACGATCAGAGAGGGCCGAAGATGACATCTGGGCTACCATAGGAGCACCTATAGCGGGCAAATACATATTAAGGGATTGTACAAATTATTTAAAAGGATTGTTATCAACTTAAGTAGATTTCAAATTACTTATATAAAAACCCACTTATTAGAGGGCTAAAATGAAGTTGGTTCATAACAAGTTGACATAGAAAGATTAAATCATTGCTCTATAAATACATCCTGTCTAAGTAACATCCCACCAGAATATTCAGTATATTGTTTTTATTGAATATAAACATGGTGACAATGTTTTAATCGACTTTAAAAATGTTTTGAAATGAGTTGCACAATTAGTGAGTTAGCAGTAACAATAGCACACTCACCATCATCTGGTCCTTGTAATATCAGATACTGGGTTGTTTCTGCACCTCCATCTTCTGCACTGGTCACAGCAATGCAACCTAGTAGAAGAACCATAGATACGATCAGATATCTGCTACTTTACGGTAAAATAATCAAACTGACACAACTCTAAAGCAGCCTGTGTATGATATAACAGATGATAGAGTATCAGTGGAAATACCATTCATGATGTCAGGGCCGATGGTGGACTCTATGATCTTGTCAATGGCAGACCCCAGATCTGACGAGGTAGAAGCAGTTGAGTCAGAAACCATCATGGCTCCTTCAGACACAGCACTGGAGTGGACCAGTACTTGCGCTGACTCAGACACCAGCACTGACTGAGTCACTGTGGAGACACTGGACACGCTGGTGGACTGGGCCACTGAGGAGGAGTCTGGGAGGTGGACTGATGAAACTCTGACGTCTGTACTGGAGCTGGTTTCTGGGATGAAGACCTGAACAGGGAGGGGCAAGAGCATGATTTCAAGAAACTTTTGTCATGACAAAAGTCTGACTGCTGGTTTTGGTTGACTTTAATATATGATTGTTAACACACATGTGTACACAAAATCATCTTTTTTACTTACCACAACTCCCTCTGAGCTCTGTCCCACATGGCAGTCAGACTCCGGGGCCTGTGCATGCGAGGCAGCAGCATCACTGCTGTCTGCAGACATGGCCTCCGATGACTCCATACCCATACCACTTTCAGACGGCTCCTCCATCCCTGAGGGACCTGCGTCACTGCTGCTCTCCACCTCATTCTCCTCCGAATCCATAACTATCCACAAAAAATTTAACATTTGAAGTTTGTGTGATCTTTATAGCATGCCTTTAGTTCAGCTAGTTCACTGGTTACTTGCAATAGGGCAGCTCTGTTTGTCATTAGTGTTAAGAGTGTTAAACATTAAAGTATGGAATGCCTTTTAAAATACCAATAAGAGCTTGAAGACCTGCAGACATCCTGGATGGAGAAACATTTATAAACTTTCTCAACTGTAAGGAAGTAACGAAGTATAATGTTGGAAAAGGTAACTTAACGTAATCAAGAGAAGATTTTCTAGTGAACATGATATTCTCTTTCTTAAGTTTATTGAACGTTGCCTATATGTAATTGAGTCTAACAGAAGGGCAACAAACTTGAGTTTTTGCATTCAATGTGTCCATTTATATGGATATGAATTTTTTTATGTTGTACCTATGGTGGGTTTGTAATAATGTAAATTCCTTTATATTTCCTTCAAGTTTGAAATAGCTAAGTGAGCAATATTACTATCAAGAGGTGGAAAGCAACATTTACTCAGGTACAGTTGTGATTTCCTGACTTTTTTTTTTGTGCTTTTACTTAACTGCATTTGATGGCTGCAAGCCACCATACATTTTTTATTATATATTTATCCATTCAACAATTTATATTATTTTTGTTTTGAGTGTAGCATAAAGGGACTACAGCTTGCATTTTGTTGTACAATGATAAATAAATGAATCCTTAAATTGTGATACAATCAAACATTTACTAACGTGTCTATACTTAAAATCAAATCTTTTGCTCCAAAGCATTTTATACATGGTGCTTCTCCTATAATAACTACAGTAAAGGATGTTGAGTTTAACCTTACTGATGTTCATCCATCACTTAAACAGTGTTAAGTGTACAGAACAATGTTTATTTCAGAAAACTACTACTTTTTCTCAGAAGTAACATAGTAAGTAACATTTACTGAACAGGCCTTTCATGACTGCCAAAATAATAACAAACTTTATTAATATAGTACCTTTAAAAAAAAAGGTAAAAACAACAAAAGATCAGAACACTACGAACCCCAGCAGCATCAATAACAAGATATATAATTAAACAATAAACACTGTAAAACACAGCAATAAATGAAAAGATTAAACAATAAGACCATGGCATGTAAAAGGGTCACAGGAAGGCAAGACTATAAAGGCAGAGACTTAAAATAAGTGATATCATTTGCCATCCAGATCTGAAAGTCTGTGCCACAGTTTGGGGGCTCTGATGGTAAACAATCTGTCACCTTTGTTTGTTAATCTTGTTTTGGGATCCACCAGGAGAGCTAGCTCTAGTGTTTATCACTCAAGGGCGTCAACGCTGGGTGTGAATTAAAGGTCTCCAACTATACTGGGGATAACAGTTCACGTTTCCACTGATCAAGTATGACCATGCTTGTAAAAGTACACCAGCCAAGTTATTGACAAACTCGATGCCAACGATAAACAAGCCATGGGAGTATAGTGAGAACCAGCGATAGGTAACGTTAGCTTTTAGCTGGCTGAGTAGCATGAGTGGTCGCCGTTAACTCAGTATTAGTTTTCTGAGGCTGCAGGTCAGATACAAATGTCTCCCACTAACAACAATGCTTTTAAAACACAGTCGGGGTGAACTCTATCACGTGAAGAACGGGTCACTGTTGACCAAACCAAGTCAACCCGTCGAGTGTAGCAGTGTTCAACACAACGCGTGTTAGCCGTTCAACAACGGGCCTAGCTGCCCTTCACCCTGCCTGCTCCGCGTCGCCATTTTACACCAGGCAGCCCCGTTTTACACTCAGGCATTCTGAAAGCTCTACTGGGGACCTCGAGGGCCTCAGCTGCGGCAGACCGCCCAAATGTTCTCCCTGAAGAAAATGAAAATATTTTCCCTCTCCGCCTCCACAATCTCCACGCTTTATTCTTACCGTATATTTTCGTGTAGAAAGGTATCCTTCGGTGTAGATGCTCTAAATAGAACAGAAATTAGTAACCGATAATTGTTGCTTCATTCTAGTCGGGCGCCATGAGACTCTCCTCGCTTCCTGTCCGTGCAACCGGATCTTATTTATTGTTTTTGTTGAAAACAGACTCGTTGTTAAAACAAACATTGCTATATTTACCTTTTTGTTTTACGGTTTGTGTTTAATTGTATATTGGTCGCTGTATGTTGCTTCATATTCGGTAAATGTGATGTTTATAATCACTTAGTGGACTATTGTTTTTAGAGGAAGGCGTATTACGCAATTTGATGCGGAGTAATATGCATCCACTTAGCGTCGTTGTTTCAAGCGTTGACGGTGTGGTTTCAAGACACTGTTGGTAATTGATACAGTAAAGTAATGACATTACATTTCTGTAGCCCATGCTGTGGCTTATACATGTATGCTCTTTTTGTTGTGGGAACGTTAAAATAATATATATTGTGTGTGTGTGTATGATAGTGCTGTCAGGTAATCAATGTACCCATCAGTTTATCAGGTGTAATTGGTGAATGATAGAGACAGAAGACAGTGGTATATAGTTCTCTTGAATTTTCTTTATTGCATTGAAAGTTAAAACTTTAATACAAAACACATCAGTCTTATAAATAATTTCAGTGAAGGAGACATGCATTGTCTTCCAGTGCAAGTAATTGGCTTTGAAGCCATTTTCAGAAATACATATAGAATTATACAAAACAAACAAGCCTTAGGACACAAAAATAATATTAGATATTGATATAAATACCAGAATAATCAAATACTGTTAAAGAGTCTGAACCTGTCAGACATAAAGAAATTATTTAGCAAATCTGGAATCTGATCCAGGTAGCTTTTGACAATATTTTAGTTATTATGAGTCTTAAATTTTCAACCAATTTTCACTTCACAGATTATAGGCTGAGGGCAGGGCAGTGCCAAAGATTGCAATTTCCTTTGCTTTCCTTTGGGCCTTTCAACTTATTTTTTGGCCAATGCTGTGTGTTATAGAATTAGCCAACATTAATGATGGCCAATTGTTCACATCCCAGAAAGCACACACGTCATACAACAGCTGCTATACACGAATACTGCATCTCATTCTCCCTGACACCTGCACAGAGGAGAGAAATAGGTGCTACCACATTACAGACGATTTCCAGCTCATCCCTGTGTGTCATCTCCTCAGTAGCGAAGGTTTGAAGAATCGGAGCACTTGAGGAGGTCATATTTCACATAGCCAACACGATCCACCTGCCTGCGGGAGTTCATACGCCAGTAGAAACGGTCCCGGCAGAAGTAGAAGTGACCTAAAGCAGAAATCACAATCAAAATGAGGATTCTTGCATGCAGCAAGCTAATATTATTGGCCAATTTTGTTCATTGAGCTTAGTAGATATGTATGAAATTGACAGGTTTATTTACCGTTGTACTGGAAAACATCATGAGCATCATTGGGGACGCCACCAAAGACGGCATCTGTGTATCTGGGGTACCCTCTGTCGATTTTCTGGGCCTTCACATCAAGCCTGTGTTGTCAAAATCATACCAGAGAAAGTCATTAAAACAGCAAAATCAACCAGTTGACCTTAAATCACAGACTTTTATTATGTAGCTAAAAATAACCACAGTGGGGGTGGTGTTTAACTGGCTTCCTCCCAACCGGATTTCCAGATATAAATATGCTGAAGGCACAATTTTAACTCACCTCCAGAAGTTCTCCCCACTGAAGAGCAGCACTTTGCCTTTCCCCCTCGGCAGCGCTCCCTCCACCTTCTGAATGTTGTTAGGGAGGCCGAGCTTCTCTATGCTGCGGGGACCCAGAACACTCTGCCCAGTGTACACCCAGAATCGGGTCCCTATAGAAAGAAAAAAATTATCATTATGAAAATTGTCTGCACTTTTAGTTTAATTGTAGGTAGTCTCTCAAACACTGTATAAGCTTTATTACCTGAGAAGAAGTACAGTTTCTTGGTCAAAAGTTCCTCAAAGGCAGAGTCAATGACTGCTGGCAGAGCTGGCCACCTCCCAGAAATGGCAAATGGTCCCTTGGGCCCTTCCTCACTCGTGCTGGGCATCTTCCAGTATTGTCTGTTGATCAACACATAAAATTAACACGTTAACACTGCCAGTTTGTGTTCATGTTGCAGCTTTTACTTAGAATAGACTGATTCACTCACCCGTCCTTGAAGAAATGTAATTCTCCCTCAATCACGGTGATGGTGTCAAATTTGGTGAACTTGCAGGGATCTTGGCTCGGATCCACAGGTCTTGTGGTGGTAGGGATGGAGGGGTCAGTGGTGTCAGGCCCCTCTGTAGCGTCAGTCTCATAAGGGTAGGAGTCAGTGGTGGGGGATTCGGGCTGAGGTGGGGTGGGATCAGGGCCTGTTTTGCTTCCTGAACAGAAAAAAAATAGTGTTGGTTGAGAGGAACTGTTGGAAAGTTGGAATTTTAAACATTTTAATGTGATAAATGATAAAGCAGTTTGTTGTGATCTTACCATAGAGATACTGAATGCCTTCAATGTCGTCTTCATGCAGGGAGAAGTTTTCCACATAGCTGTACATGGGGTACATGAGAGCATCTCTTATGTTGGAGTGATCCAGGCCAAGGGCATGTCCAAACTCATGGGCTGCCACCAGGAACAGACTGTAACCTGGAACACATACAGCAAGGAATATTAATGAATGTCAAGGTTGGATACATATATACAGCACTTTAACTACTTTCTCTATTTTATATTTATGCTACTCACCCTGGTCAGGACAAAAGCCCCATTTCTTGTCATCATCGTAGCTGTCAGTGGTGGCGCACCACAACTTTCCATCTCCACGTCCCTCACTAGTGCAGGAGTCATACTCTTTACCCAGGAACACGAAGGGGAAGTGGCAGACCTCGCCCTCAGAGTTTCCACCAATTACAGCGGAGTCTGGCCAAACAAAGTCATAACAACAACAGTAAGAAAACAACCCATTGTGGCAGCACTCCACAGCATTTGTGCATTGTGCTTCCTGTCACTTACCACGAGTGGGACAGAATCCATATTTTATGTCCCTGTCAAAGTTGTCTGTGGTGGCACACCAGCGGTAGCCATCGCTGCGGCCCTCTGTGGTACAGCTGTCATATTCCTTCCCCAGGAAGACAAAGGGAAAGACGCACTCAGCTCCGTTCGCGTTTCCTCCAAATGTGTACAGAACTGTCAGGATGAGAATTAGGGGGGAGGATGAGTGGGTGAAACAAGTCAGCATGTCAAAAAAAAAGGCAAATGTCCTCATCTGGCTGACCTCTGACCTATGATATCCCTTGTAGAATAAATTGTCAAGCTTACGTTCACTTGGGCAGAAGCCGTATTTCTTGTCTCTGCCGTAGTTAGCTGTGGTGGCGCACCATGGCAGGTTGTCCGATCGACCATCAGTGGTACAGGTTGTGTAAGATTTGCCCTCGAAAGTGAAGGGGAAGTGGCACATGGCACCATCTGAATTCCCATAGCGAGTCTTCACAGCTTAGGTGACAGAAAAGTTCAAATATTTAATGCAATATATAAAGTCAACACCAGGGGGAGTCAGCCTCACATTAATTGTTGATGGTGGAGTAATATGTTTTGGTATGTCTAATTACCTGGTCCTGTTCCCAGAGTCCAGTACTCATCATCGTCAAAGTGGGCGTCTCCCTGCACACCATCACCGGGGGGATAAGCATGGGCCAAAAGACCATCCTTACCATCGAATGGGTATGGGTCTCCGTGGTCTGAACAGAAAATTTAATTTCTCATCAGCCTTTGATTTTAGACTTGTGTTTTGTACCAAATTACAGTTGAAATATCAGTATAACTACACAGATGAAATGACCACAATACAAACATACCGGCTTTTCCAAATGAAATCATGATGTCAGCCGTCCCGTCAAAGAGGCGGGTAAAAGTCAGAGGAGTCACATCACTCCACACCTTGAAGGCTCTGGCGAAGGCGTCATCGATCAGAGAACTCTCCATATCTGGAGAATAGTTAAGGATCCTGTGGAGAAGAGCAGAATGTCATTATTATAACTGACAATGTAACTGAAATAGTTGGTGATATATCTCCTTCACAAACTTTGCATTATAAAGCACCAGCATTGTAATGTCATCAACTCTAGTAATAGATTTGTTCTCTCTACTCACCTGTAAGTGACATCTTGATGGTCCCATTTGAGGTCTCCGTCAAATGTTTGGTAGTTGGCCACATCAGGAACTCCACAGCGGGGCCGTTTCATGGCCTCTATGGTGGACCAATCCAAGTCTCCAGTCTCCTCCAGCCCCATCTGTCTCTGCATCATTTTCAATGCCTTTTCTTGCGATGTCATAGACTGGAAGCCACTGCGCTTCTGCGTCTCCATGTAGCCAAACTTCTTCAGATAATTCTAGCAGGACAATATGAGAAACCACATTAATGACTGTGTCCTTATAAAGTAAACTTTAGTTTGCAAAACAAAAAAACTTGTTTTTGTGTCTCTTGTATTTAGAAGACAACTTTTTTCATTAACATTATGATTGGGATCTCTGTTCAGGTAATTACTTCCCTGCACAGCTTGATTGCACACAGTTTTAGGAATTTCACTCCATCAAGACTAAATGAACCATCTGCTACTCACTTCTGCCAGCTCCGTATCAGTCATGTTTTTGATGATGTCTCCTGGGAAAGTGACAAAGACGGACTTGAGGGGAAGGCTCCATCCATCCTGAATGCTTATCCCCAGAATTAAACACACAGCTAAAGCACAGTATCTCATGATGAGATCTTCTGTAGATTTCTACAAAATATTCACTAAGACTTGCAGAGCACAAGCTCTCAGTTAGACAAAAGAAAATTAAAAAAGCTTCTCCACTGAAGATCAACAGTGTTTCTCCTTCAGTGTTGGCTTCCCTCTTTGTTTTGACTGGTGGCTCTTGTTGTTGTCTCTGCTGTGTGCCCTTGGTTGGGGTTGTGGACCTTGTTTTTATGCAAAGTAACGTCTTAGTCACTTCACCTCGCTCCCGCCTACTGCTAACCTCAACCCTCCCACTTACATCTTGACAGACTGTATTGGTTAAATGAACATGGGGAAATTCCAAAATATCCACATTTAGCTTTACCTAACAGCTAATGAGTGGTGAGCTAATTGTTCTTTTTTGGAGATATGTCAACCTGGATGGGTGTGGTATTGACTGAACAATGGCAGTGGTTGACAAATTATGGTGGCAAATTATTATGGTTGCATTCATATTATTGTTAATATAATAATCCATGCTGCCAGAAAACCCACAAAAACTATTAACCCAAATGACAAATTACTACTACTAGTTATCTTAAAAATTTGCATCATAAAACTGGTAAAAAAAAAAAAAAAAAAAAACATATACCTAAAGAGAGCATAGATGCAGTGCTTAGATGCTCATTGTACATTGTTGTTGTCATCCTTTTAATTTCTGTGAAAAGCTTTTCTTGACATGTTAATGTATTTTTACCTAAGTAAACACACTCATCATGGGATCCAGCCAGACACTTCCCTTCTCTCTATGCTTAAAGTAATGATATAAAAAAGTTTGTTTCCTAACCTTTTTTTTTATAAATAGAAATGTGTTTCCTCTTAATCTATAGTTGGGTAATAAAATGTCAAACTAGGTCAAACCAAAAGTAGATTCTTACAGAATAAATGGGAAAGAAATATTCTGGCTGTTAAATTATATGTTTTTAATTTTTCATGACAAATAATTGAGGTGATGAAGAAATCTCATTGTATTTAAATGTGATTGGCCATAGTTTTGGAAAATACCTGCTTCATCATCACTATACACTGCTGCTGATGCAACATCCCTAAAATTACACAATTCATTAGCAATGGTTTATACGCCTTATGTTGGCAATAACTGTTACACATCAAATGTTTCTGTATTTTTCCTACAAAAAGGATCTTACTTCTCTAATTAACAGAAAATGAATCATTACGTGTGATGACATGCTGAATTTTCAAATTTCTCATGTGTATATCTCTGTAACATAACAGTTTAAGCCATGTGTAAAAAACAACACAGAAATCTTTACTTTTTATTCTAAATACCATCTGTGCAAGGGCTAATCTGTAATCTGTTTAAAATACCAGCACTGTGAAGTAGTGTTAGTATGCTGAGCATATCTTGATATTTTGGGCTATGTGAGTATCAAGGTGTTGTGGGCAAGGATGTGTCTCAGCCAGCATATCATGACTCACTGCGTTCCCACATGAATGACCAAAACTGCAGATGAGGGGCTTTTTTTCAGTGAGCATGCTGCTGACATCCTTTCTTCCCATGCAAACATGTTTACTTAGTTGTACTGCTGTATTTTCAGATGCAGGAAAATAAACAGCGCTCATTAAAGTTCCAGTGTGTAACATTTAGGAGGATCTATTGGCAGAAATGGAGTTTAATGTTCATAGGTATGTTCAGTGTATAATCAAAATAAGAATTTTTTGTTTTCGTTACCTTAGAACAGCGATCTCAAACTCAAATTGGTTTGGGGCCACTGCTGGTATTGTCATCTCATGTGTCGGCCACTTCAACGTTTAATTACCACAAGACATTGAAAATATTTCTATAACATCATACTTTTTTTATAATCTTTGTTTTCTTCAGCCAAACACCAAACAACGGCCCAAAGTTGCTTTCTTCTTATCAATGATTTGTACACATTTGTGGACACCCTTGACCTTTGCCATTATTTTGCCAAATTAAATCTTTGCATCTCTTTTATTTGCAATTAATAAAATCAGTTTCAAATGCAGTTGATGTTTTTATATTCACTTCAGTGTGATTTGGAAAACCATTTTTACACAGGGCTTGGACTTCAGTATTTCAACATGGAATATTAGTTAAAGGACCAGTGTGTGGGATTTAGTGGCATCTAGCAGTGTAGTTGCAGATTGCAAATCCCTGACTCCGCGCTCGCTTTTCAATCCTGAGAGAGAAACTACGGTTGCAGGGAAACGTGCAAAAAATGGCCCTATCTAGAGCCAGTGTTTGATTTGTCCAATCTGGGCTGCTGTAGAAACATGGCAGTTCAACATTGTGGCCTGTAGAAAAAATGGCTCATTCTAAGTTAACGAAAAACAACTATTTTCAGGGGATTATAGACTAATGAAAACATACCTATTAATATTTAATTTCTGCCAATAGATCCTCTGAAATGTTACACTGGACCTTTAAGTGCACATCTGCTCTCACAGTGACTTGCCTTTTATGGTAAAGGCAATATAGTACGTATCAATGTCTTAATGAGGAGGAGGTGTGAAGTTCTGACATGTGGTTTGATGAGAAAGATATCCTTCCTCATATCTGAATCTATGGTTTCCTGATGTGGTTGATGCGTTGCACACACACGTCATTCATCCCCCGGTTTTTAACTTACTGTTGTCATATTTTCTTCTCACTGAGTACTTTTTTATTCTGAAAATATTTTTATTGTTGCGATTTTCCCACGAAGAGCAAAAACCATGAAGATATATATTTGCATAGTTAGATAAGTACTATCTACAGAGGTACTATAAAGTTTAAATCTATCTTGTATCAGATAATGTCCAGATAATACACATACCTGTCCAAATCAGTGAAATTGACAGGTCAAAACACATTTGTTTGTAATGTTAATGTCCTTCATTTTGCCGATGCTTGTTTCCCTTTGATGACTGTCATTTTATATGCATATCAACATATAAAACAAACCCAACAAATTGTTCTTGGAAAACAATAAATGTAATCTTGCATAAACTGAAAGATGTCCTTTGTTTTCAGTGGGTATAGACATTTAAAACAGACATTTGGTTAACACACAAAAAGAATACCAGCTAGAGTGTAGTTACATTACACACATTCAAACTGAACACCTATTTTTGGTCACAGGATTACATTTAAATTAGACTAAAGCAGCTCTATCCAGCTTCAAATGCACAAACCCTCTTTCATTTGATGCAGTTTTTTATGCTCATTCAGACACAATCATAAGGTTATTTCTGTTTATGTGTGGCTCCTCAGAGGATCCCCAGGCCTCCTTTGAAAACATCTGCCACTGATTTCACATGGCGTCAAAGGCTTAATGAATACGGCTCCATGCATTTTAACAAATGCCACATTTCATTTGGTTTCGCCACTTTGCTTCCAAAAAGACGTCTGGCACAGAACCTTTAAAATACACATTTTTGTTTGGCATCCTTCCCAAAATTTCCCTCAATGACAGCACAGCCTGTTGGCACACACCACATACAGTAACTGTATGAGGTGGCCAACTGCGTCATCAGAGAGCTGGATAATATCATAGCAGAGCAGCAAGACCTTCATAGCTCACATGGGCGGAATCTTTATGATTAGGTTTACCATGTAACGACATAAACCATGTATTATCAAAAAGTCATAATTTGTGACATTTCTACATTTTTTCTGGGTATGCTAAAACACAGCGAGGCAGAATACAACAAAATCCTATCTCACTATTGTACGTCCCAGTCATCTGTGTTGGCATTTTAAGGACAATAGTAGCTCGGGGTGAAACTGATTGTGTGCGAGGCTTCGCATATGAAGCACTGTGTTTCCACCAAATCAGGGCACGATTTTCTTTAGCCAGCTTAGATTCTTCAGTGTTTACAGTTCAGTTTTGCAACTCTGTCTTTAATTTTGACGTGCCCTGTTTAGTTTCCAGCTGTCTTGTTAAAGCAAACTGTTTATGTCTTATGGTATGTTTCTAGCAGAGAGTTATAAATGCAAAAATCACTTCCTGTCAGCCACAGTTGATGTGGCCAGCTTCCTCATTCAGCTGCGTTGTGTTTTATGACGGCTGGTTTGTTGACTTTGTGGTCGGACACAGAGACTGTACAACACACAGGACCGTCACTGTGTCTGATGTGGGGGTAGCGTTACCCCATCACCACGTCCAGGTACTTTACCAGCCCTGCTGAGTCGGCTGTGCCTTGCAGTTATTCTGGGAATAGCTTTGTTTTTATACCCCACTAAACTCTTACAACTGTTTATTTTGGGTTTCCAAGAAGTTTGCCTCTGCATTCCCTCGCTTATTTTGATCATTCAATGTTGTTCACTTTATTATTACAATGAAACTAAAACAGTAATAAACAGCATGTCTAATGTATTGTGTCTGAATATTTGTAACCCTTTCTAATTTGTCAAGATACTATGCATGCTTGTGGGTGAAAATGGCTCACAACAAGCCTTAGAGCACAACAAACAAAACAAAGGACGCAACCAAAACAAAAACTGATTAAAACAAGCACTCGCCAGGGCGGAAACCTGTTATGCCCTCTAAGCCCTGAAGTGTCACTCATATAATAGCTTGTCTGTAATGAGTCATAAGTCAGCGTGATAAGTTTGACAGAAATAATTTCATGAACAAACTTTTAACAGTTGCCACAAAGTTGTGTACAGTCATATGAATGGGACCGTAGGAGCACAGCTTTGACTCATGTCTCCCTGGAGCTGCAGACAGGAGGCTTACTTCTGCTTCACCAAACATTTGATCAAAAACTAGACTGTTAGTCACCTTTGGGAATATTTCTTGGTTACTTTGCCAACACTTGCTCATACCAAGCCAATAATTCGCTTTAAAGATGACGAGACCAATTCAGAGGAAGACTAAATTACTAAATTAATTAATTAATTATTTTACCAGCATTTTAGATGTATAATAGTAATCAGATGCTGAAATGGCAGTAATACTGATAACAATGATCCTCACATCCAGCTCAGGATTAACAAATAAAATAAAATAGATAGGTTAAAGTAAATTGTTCCAAGATGACTTGCTGATATAGTGACAAAACTAAATAAACCATTAAAACGTCATGGTTGAGGTAATCTGATACTCTTGAAACCTTGAATCAGTCTCAAGACTTCATCTGGCTCACATTAGCAGACTCAGGTTTTCGCCATCTGATGTGGAGGAATGGACACACGCTGCCA